TAATACTCCTCCGGTATTATAAGACCCAATTTGACTTTTTATTTGGTTCTAATTATAAGACCCAATCCATTTTGTCTCTTATATTTATGCATTTTTTTCCAAGATAATCCTTCTAATAATGATAGTTTTAGCCAATATACTTAATTAGCAAGGATATTTTAGGAATGACAACACTTATTTATTATAAATAACTAACTTAACTTACTTCCTTAATCTCCTCAAATAAATCAATTGGGTCTTATAATTAGGACCGGAGGAGTAATACATAGGATTATCTTAGGGAAGTGGGTCCCTGAGCTCTCTTCCACTCTCGGATGTGTGGTACGCGTCTGATAGGTTCTGGAGAATCAGAAATCCTCCCAGATTGATGTTGCTTGATCCTACGATGCCACTAGGTAGCTTCACCTGAGAAAGGGATATATCGTCCTGTGTCTGTTCATTCAGGTGCTTAGCGCATTGTTCTCATAACAAAGATGCTTTCTTCCATGCATAAGGAAGATTATATTGTAGATTACTTGATCCTACCTAACCAATTATTTATAATGAAATTTTTTTTGGGGTCAATTTAAACAGCAATCTTATTGGTACAATTTTTTATTTAATATAATGTCTGGTCTTTTTGATTCAAAAGCAGAAGTGAACTAAGGGGGCTTGTCCGCACTCACCTTTAAGAACAAGTTTTTTTGTTGTTGGGTGTATTAGGTTTTTTAGAGACTAAGGATTTATTAAATTAACCAACAGACATTGGGTTTAGTGGAAGTGACTGGTTAAATAAGATTATTTCTAATAAGAGAATATATATATATATATGTCTAGAAAAAAAGAGTTTATTAGATTTTGTGGTGATAAAAAATATTATTCCATATGAAAGCAAGACATTATAAACTAAGAAAAATTTGCGTATTTTAGCATTTATATGAGTAGCCAATACTATAGTCTCAAATTTAAGTATTATAAAATTTGGAGGAATTGAAAGTGGCCTTTTAAATCTTGTTGCTTTCACAAAATTCAGACCCTATTAATATATATATGAATCATCATATTCAAATCTGAATTAGATTCATTGGACGTTAAGCACTCCAGATTATAAATAAACCAGTAAATCAATACATGAAGTGATTCGCAAGCTCCAGCTGGAAATCTGATTAACCCATAGGTAGGTGGTTGGCAAGCTTATACATACGTATGCGCGCGCGCGCGCACGTGTGGTTATAGCACAGATCTGACCTCATACTTGAAATTTTGAATTCTGTGAATCTTTCTTAGTACATAAAAATGCAACATGTCATGTTAGACGCCAATAATCAGATTAAATACTTTTCTGGTCCTAGATATAAGACCCTTATACACACTAGTATAAAGTCTTATATTTAGAACCGGAGGAGTATAATATAAATGCAAATTCATCAAAATCTTCAAAATCATGCAACTAGTTAGATCGCAATCCTTAGGGATGACACTCATCTATTAATTAATACATCAATTTGGTTAAATGATGGGTTAGTCTAAGTCGTCTACTTGATTAATACTTTGATGTGCAATTTGAGCTTTTGATTATATTTGTGGCTTCTTTAATCTTAGATTAATACTCCTCCGGTCTTTAATATAGGACCCAATTCTTGAGTTGGTTTTGGTTCTAAATATAAAACCCATTTCTCATATTTATCAATTTTCTCTAAATTACCCCTATAGATACTCCCTCAACCATAATCAAATAGAAGGAGAGAGGGTATTAAAAAAGATTATTATGGTATTTTAGGAAAAATGTGTCACTTTTCTTATAATTAACTAACTTACCTAACTTCTTTAATCTAATCAAATTAGTTAAATGGGTCTTATATTAAGGACCGGAGGAGTACAAAACAAGGAAAGTGTGCTTGTGGGGTTTATCTAACTCATTAATGATGTACCTTTTTTTTTGTGTGTGTAAATGAGGCATAAAGCCTAAAAGTAGAGGGAAAAAATAGTCATGAAAGCAAACATTTATATATATAAATGACTTGTACAGAGGAAGATACACGGACACAAGTGGAAAAACCTTCACTTTTTTTTTTCAATTAATGAAAATGGAAGAAAGCTCACCATAATAATGAAAATTTAATGATTTATTTTGTTTTATTAATTGTCGAACAGATAAAAAGTTGTGCTTTTCGGCTTTAGGCTGTACTGCATGGAACCACTAGTTGGACATATCATATATCCATATCTTTGCGGGCTGGATCTCACTATGTTTGTTTTTTTTATCGGGTCCCACAGGGCCCACATGGGACTTGAAAATAAGTTATAAAGAGTCTATAAAAAAAATAAAACACATTGATTGGAAAACTTGATGTGATAAATATAAATAACTTAACCTAAGTATTTTTCTTCTTAATTTGTAACTGAGATTTATATTTGAAATTACTAAAATTAATATTTATGATTATTTTTCAGAAGAATTTTCTTTAGAGAGCTAACTGTTATTTTCCTAATAAAAATTCATATTGTAAATCCTCACTGTTAAAGGCATAAAATTAAGTAAAAGACGCATATGAAAAAAATAAGTAAAAGACAAATAAGCAACGTTCGTAAAATGTTGGCGCATATTATCCTTATTATTTTTTATTACTTAATATTATTAAGTTTTGTGATTTCGTGACATGAAAATATAAATTTTTTTTATATTATCTGTACTATGGAAATAGTTTTTATTTTGTAAATATATAAATTTTCGCGTGTTGAATAATTCTGTTGGGCGTAATATCCAACGATCATAAACGCGTACGGAGCCACCATATCCTAACAATGCAAAACAGATACAAATTTATTTATTACTTCAAACAGAATTAAGGGTAATATTGTAATATTATCTTTAATTATAAATATAAGACTCCAATTTATTTTGTTTCAAATATTTATTGATTTTAAAGAGTTTTCATAATGGATAGTTCCAATATATATATAATTAACAAGAATATGTTAGAGGAAAAAAACAACATCCATTAATTATAAATAACTAATTTTCTTAATATCCACAAATTAGTTATCCAACTCTTATATCATTTCTGGTCCTTAATATAAGATTTAACTAACTAAATTGGAGATATTAGGGGAGTTACTAAACTTCTTAATTATAACATATCTTACATCATCTTTTTAAAATACTTATGTATATCATTATATTATACATATCAATTTATAGGAGTGCCAAGTTAATTTGGAGAAAAACAATAAATATAAGTGTTAATTCTTTTGAGTAATATATCTGAAAATACCCGTTAATTGATTTCTTATTAGCATTGTTTCGAACACAACTGGTGCATTCCAAAATAATCCCTATTTGGATGTCTTTACCTTTGGCTATGAAACTCTTGTGTTTTTTATTTACTTAATAGATACGATTCAAAGCTAAAAGGAATGAAAAATAAAATAATAGAAGTTGCTAATTTGAAATCCAATTAAAGATAACTTATTAACTTCTTTAATCTTCTCAAATAAATTAACAAAGTCTCATATTAAACACAACTGTTAGTATTAACGAACGGAGGTAACAAGAAGAAACAAAAAGGGAATGGGAAAAACGTGGTTGGAATCCAATGAGAATATTGGTTGGAAGACATGATAATATTGTAAGGCTAAAGCTTTGTCACACGCCAACCAATTCTTCAATTTTTCTCCCGATTTAGACACACATTCGTATTTGTCATATAACTATGTAGGGGCCCCATTAATCAACTATTTCCTGCCCTATGCATCCCTATTATCATCATTTATATCCTTTATATACACAGCTTTTTTTGCTGGCAAATATATATATACACACGCGCACACACACACACACAGCTTTTTTACCATGATATATGTCTTTAAAAATGTTATTATAGTCTCGCCATTATTCTTTGTCAAAAGAAATAACCATCTTAATTAAGTAATCTTAACATTACATTATTAAAGGATAACATGCGTGATGCATTCGATCTAATCTTGTAACATAGTTGATTTAATTTGAAATAGGATTTGAGTAATAATGTTAATTTTGAAATGTCTCTCTTAGTGGTAGTAATGGTTAATTATAAGTGTTATGAATAAATAATATTTTACAAGTCTAATCAACATTTTTCTGAGTAAATTCAATATTGGAAACAAAACAAAACTGATCGATGATCCTTCAGGGGAAAACAGAACAAAATAGTGAATATATCAAAATAGTCATCAATATTTAAAAACTTTTCAAGATTAATACAATTTTTTAAATAAATTTCATCCGAATTTTTAAATTCTGGGATTCAAGTAAAAAATCCAAAATAGTTTCAAAATTCTAAACATAGTTTAATATGAATATATATATATATATATATGATATGCATAAAAATATCCAATATGCAAATAACTTTTTCACGGGATGTGTGATTTCATGAATTAATACTTTCATCAAAAATATCTTTTTTCTATAAATTATACGCTTATTATAAAATTTAGGCTTCATATTTATTTGAATAGTTTCTAAAATAAGCAATAAAACCTTGATATTGTTCATTATTAGTAGTGAATAGTTTTGAACTTGCTATATAAATATATAAATATATATATAACTTGTTATAATGGAGCCAAACTAAGCTCTTATCTCATTAATATTATATTTTTTGTGCGCAACTAGTTCCCATGATGCCTTTTTTTTATTTTTCTTTTTTAAAATATCTTTGCTTCAGGGTGTTTCTTTTTCTTTTAAAACCGGGGAACTGAATGTATTAAAAGCATTTTGGGTGGAAAAGTGAAAGGAGCTTGATTGGCTTCGTGGGTATGTGTGTGTAACCCTAGTGGATGATTTGACAAGAGTAAGGCGTATAAATATGCATATATATATATATATATATATATTATATTATTGATTTACATTCCTGGAACTTGCATCTTATTAGCCTAACCCTAAGCTCAACTTGTGTCTCATTCATATTATAATCAATTATTACCCATATGCTCAGGTTTGGCTTATAATCATTCACAACTTCGTTCAGTGCTTAACACACTGTACTGTTCAGATTAGAGCAAAGCAGCCAATATGCATTCATTAATTAGGCATTCTCACTTACCCAATATCTGGTTCTGGTTTATCAGAATAAAAATTACATCTTATCTTGGTTGAAGATGGGATGTATAATTTGATATGTTCTTGATGCTTTTGAGGATTGTGAATAATTAATGATCACTTTTTGTGGGGGACGGGGTTGTATTGATCCATTGGTTGATTTAAGGGCACTTTGTTAGGTGCACAGCTTGTAATGGCGCCCACTTTTAGGAGCATGCGGGCTTAATTGTACCTGCAAATTAGAATTTAGAAGAGGCCTTCCTCGTAAACATTTCATTACTTTGTCATTTAATACAATCCCCAAACTCCCATCTGCTTCGCTATATACTATATGAACTCACAAATGAATTATATTAAATGTCTGATAATTTTGTTCTTATCTTCACTAATGATTCATCTAGGGCGTAGAAATCTCTGTCAACGACCTTGTAGCTTAACGGCATAAAATTTTTTGCATGAATGAGAGGTCGTGAGAGCAATCTCACTTGTTTAATAATTGCTCCTTTAATTAAAGAGTGGAGGAATCTTTTGTTATCTCACTTGATCTAGTTCATTTTATCCCTTAGCCCTGCCACTTAAAAGAATTGCCTTTTTGGCTTTTGCCTGGTAATGCAAAGGTGCAATTCAGCAAAACCACAAAGAAAGGAAAGAAATTTAGGTAGGAAGAATGATGACTGATGAGACATGATTCTTGACAGTGTAACAAGAGGCATATGGGATATGTATTTACCTATTTATACCGTGAAGGATGTTTCTCAATTCTTTTTTTAAAAAAAAAAAAAAATTTGCTCACTATGTTTTAGAAGTTATATTGGCTTAATTAAGTCAGGTCAAACTGTATGAATATAGAACTCTTTAAACGATAGCGTTTTGCACCTTCGTCTCAATTGACTACAACTAATCACCAGATAATTCTTCTCACCGGAATGAGTCACTTTTTGTTGCTGTGCTCTAATTGTAAGTATTTGTTTTCTTTGGAAGGGGAGTGTTTGAATAATAATGATGATGATTGATTCATCTTTCATAATCATAGTCAATAAAATGATTAATGAACCTATCAACTAATTTATAAACTTGACTATAATTTTTGTGTCGAAATTCTACAAGTTAACTGACTTCCAATATCTTAAGCTTCCATGGAATACATAATGGGACAAGTTTTTATTTCATTCATCTTTCATGCCAGATGATGAATCGTGAAGCTCCATATTCAACATAAAAATCATCAATGTATATATATAATATATATATATATATATATATATGCGCATACAAGTATGAAGTGTACTTTTTCTTTGCTTAAATCAGCTTCACTAATCACAGTTTATGAATAGTGCGCACTTTTTCCTTTTTTAAATCACTTCTTTCACTTTACTTTTGTCCTTTACATTTCTTTCCCCTATAATTCAATATTTTTATGTTTCCTCCGGTTTCTATTACAGGGCGTCTTTTGAGAAGTATTTTTAATTCTTTCTATAATAATGTTTGATGCTTTTTAAGGAGTATTAAATATTTTTTTTCATGTATGACTATATCTAATAAGGGTGATGAAAGAATATAAATTAATATGATGCTGGAATTTAATGTGGTTGATAACGATAATATTATAGTTCATTTGAATTTTATGACAACTTTAGTACTTTTAAATGTTTTTATTAGTATATATGAATTAGTTAGAAGGGACTTGTGTATAGGACTAGAGAGAGTAATTACTTTGCATTGTTATATGTAATACTCATTCATCCGACGTTGATGACAGAACTAATCCTTCTTGAGAATAATCTTGCTATCTTCTCACACGCAAAGGGTTCATTCTTATTCTTAATTATACTACGGAAAAAAAAATTCATAACCAATATGAGTTATGCCCAAACAACAATGAGCTACCACAGGCTAACGTGTGATCTTCATTCAATAAACGGTTTAGCTCTTGCTATAAGAAATCAAGGGTTCCATCTTACCGGTCTTCCCTTCGAACAGCATTTGGATCAGACATCATGTCCATCATCATATTCTCAGGTGAATCCTCCCAGCTCGCAAATGTCTTCAAGTCAACCTGCAAAAGAGCATAACATATTATTCCTTCTTTCTATTGATTCATCAAAGTTTAATTCACAGAACAGAGGTGGGATCAGGCGCACTACTTTTCGTCTTTGCTCAGTGAAAAGTTCCTCTCTCTTTTTATATGAATCTTGCACTTTCTTTGCCACATGCCCTCCAAGTCCCCAAACCTCCACTTCTGATATTAAACCTTCGATGGCCAGAAAACCCTGAAAATGAAACATATCATAAGCCAACGAATGACAGCCCAGGAAGCTGGAGTTGCAGGACAAGCTGCTCAATAGCCATAGTGTTTTAGCAATCCCAGTCTATGTTGTTCTAACCCCCAATAATTCTCCTAAAATATTTCACCACTAGCTTCTCATTAGAAATTTTATCATTAGGATTACAGTATTATTTTTCTTTTAGCCAAAAAAAAAAAAATGATTTCATTCAAAAGAATCAAGTACTCCTCTGGTCCTATTTATAGAGTAAAAGGAAAACATTTTTAGTCTTATTTATAAGGCACTGAAAAATTTTTATGGGCGTACACTTTTACCCTTCATTTATTATTATATTGATTTTGTTTACATGAGGTATAATGTGTATTAAATAAGGATAAAGTTGGAAAGTTGTTAAATTTTAAATGAAAGTTAATAAAGTTTTAAGTTTTTCTTGGTTTGTATAAAATATGTTGAAAGTTACTTATAAACAGAATCAAACGAGTATATAAATCAGAATAATCATGTACTCAAAAACACCCAGATTCTATAAGAGATGGAACCATCAAACCAGAAGATTAAAATGTATCTAACAAGACAACATGCATAATTAGCAACTTCCGATCAATGCATTTAATTACTGTTCAGTTACAAACTCAACATCAACACATCAAATCCTCTGACATAGAATTATACCTGGTCTGGAAGAAGAGGACCATGCTGGTAAGTTTTGTCAATAGCATGATGACGAACAGTTACTCTTGCAAAATCTTCATCAATGAATATTCTCTCATTTCCCATAGTTCCTCCAAATGCAATCCCCACGGGTTTTGGATGAGGCTCGTATACTCTACGAGCAGGATGCAAGTGACTATAAACAAAATTCTTTTCCTTCCCTGTCAATAATAACAAACAATTAATGTTGGATAGCTGCAAACAAGTTAGTCAAAAGAAAGGGGGAAAAAAAATCCCCTCCCAACTCCCACTCTCCAATAAATAGGAAACTAAACAGGCCACTTTGAGCCTCTATTACCTACCAGAAGGGGAATACGTGGAAAACGGGACTTATTGCATAAAACAACCTGAGCTTCCATAGAACAGATCCTTATTTTCAAAACCTTGATTAGTTAGTGCACCTATAACCCATTCCTAACAACGGAGCTTCCCTCATGGGTTTGTCCTGAACTTGCTGCAATCAAAATTAGCAACGGACCGTTGTAACCTTCAACATGAGACCAAAATCTGTTTAGGCCTTTCCCATGAGCCGATGACCTATAACATATTATACATTCGATGTCAAAGCCAATCTTTTTCCAAATGGCAAGTCTCACAAGAAAAAGGCTCACAAGAGAACAAGACTAAGTCAGTGGATAACAAAATCAGACAGAAAGCATAATGTTGTGAAGCAGTAGTACAAAATGAGGTACTCATCCTCAATTTTAGCAATGCCAAGCAGTTAGAAAGAATTTCTATCTTCCAGCTCGCGTCCCACACTGTTAATGCATAAGTGAAGGATCAAGCCAGATATAAGATTCAGAGATTACCTATAAAGAAGTCTTTCATCCGTTCCCTCTTTACCCCTAGGAAAACACACTTCTGAGATCTCTTCATTTATTGTACTTCTCTGTGTAAGACCAATTGCCCATGCCCTTCCGTGGGTTAAAATGTTATTATCACATTCTGTTGTCAATGAAACATCCTCAACAGAGGAATTAGAGGGTGCCAATTCATCCTGCCATTGATCAGGAAATTATTTCATCTATAGAGACCTCAGAGCCAGATGCAATAGATTTTATTGTCCAATAACCATGTCAAAAAGCAGATAAACTATATTATTGAATCTAACAAAGGTTGGACCACAAGGCTCGGCGAGTACAATGACAGGCAAAGCACATTGTTACAGTTCATACAATTTCTTACAGCAAATGTTTCAATAAATCAATACTTGGACATAAGCTTAGTTGAAAGTGTTCTCTAAGTGACACTACACCATATACAATAGTGTAAATGTTAAGGGCAAAGGTCTTGAAGACAATTATCATTCCCTACTAGCAGTAACCTAAAAGGAAAATGTGAAGCAGAGCTAACCAGTCACTCATCCTTCTAGAATCTAAGAAAAAATATTCAGTTATTTGATTAATATCAAATGCTATGATAATTAACTCAATAACAGAATGAAACAACTTCGAAAGTAGCTGTATGACCACCAACTTGTATAATGATCCAAACTTAACACCTCAATTTGATAAAGGAAAGCCAAGTTTTAATGGAAACAAGAAAAACAAACATGACTAACTGAGTTACACTGTATGCTTGGAAATGATAAGGATGTAAGGAAGTAGTAGCAGCTCACTCAACAAAATCAGCGGGAAGGTAAGGTAGATGAAGTTAAAAATAGGGCTGACGTAAATTAATGGCAAGCATTAATTTAAATCTAATTTCAATTTTCAACTAATTAATAATCAGGGCAGATAGGTTTTGGACTGATTTATAATAAGCACAGAACACAAGGTAGTGTTGGGAAGGAAAAAAAAAAGGAAATTATGTTGAACAGGTGTCACAGAAATAAAGATCGCAAATAGTTCAACTTGAATGCAAGAATTACCCCAGCAGTGGCTTGATTTTGCAGTCTTGCATGAAAAAACTGACTCAAACAATCTGAGAGGCAGGGTACTGTACTCAAAACCCATGTAACAAACTTTCCGGCAGGAATTTGAATTTCCGAGCTTGAGAAGTCACCATCCCATACATTCAAGCCACTGTCAATTTCTGCACATGATGTGATGGCTGATAGTACCAAATGATTCAGATTTGGTGGGCTAAGACTCACTTTGCGTTCAGAGTGTTTCAAACTTCTACAGTCCCATGACATAGACCAACACGTAAGAAGAAGCAAGAGTACATCACTGGGAAGAAGTGATCCATTTACTTTACAATCAGTATCATCAGATTCAAACTCCAAATTGACAGGCAAATTGGCTCTTCCTACAGTTGAACGCAATACTCTGAGAAGCATATTCAGTGACACAGATGCAGACATCCTTGTACAGCATCTATTATAGCCTCTCACAAATTCAATCCAAGTAATTTTTCCTTCAGCAGGCATAAAAAATTGGTCAACTATGGATGAGCCGAAGTGATCTAACAGTACGGGAATAACTTGGGGATGTTGCTGGCATCACTTTTGACCTTTGTAAACTATATTAAAGCATTGCTGCAAACAACATGTTTACATGTTAGAAGTCAGAGAGAAGATAAAACACTAAGTGAACATAAGAATTGTGGTGAATACATTTTACAAAAGATAGTAAGTAGCCTCAACAATTCCTTTTCTTCAAATTTTGGCCAGTGAGAAAATTTTTTAACAGTTATTATTATTCCTCATCTTTCCACTCGGACCTGAATTTAACTAAAATTCAATTTAATGACAGGTAACTCACGATGTCAAACCGCTTGGTAAAGAATTCACAGGTGGCTAAGATTAAAAGCTTAATGATTACCCCTCCAATTAAACCGAAAACGAATCAAACAAAAGCAGACACCACCTCCACACATACTTGCACATTAAAGAGTAACTGGTCATGATGCATTGCATTTTGTGGAATATTCAATCACCAAGAGATAACAGAACAATATAAGGAATAAACAGGAAACAAGGAATTCTTATCTAAAGCCGCAAGCATCAATTTAGCGCAGTTGCCCTGTAAGTAATTTTTTTTCCCAACAGTTGGGAATGCCCACTTGATTTAACAGATTTCTGAGAAACCAGAACTTAACATTATTGTGATCAGTTACTTTGACTTTCTTTCATCAGAATTGAGTAATTCGATGCTTCCAAAACTGCAAAGAAGATAAATAAAATTGAGAGTTTAGTAATGTTTATCAGTACCAGTAAATTTTCACGGGGAACGGCCTTTGTTTCGGGATCAGCAAGCTTGGAGAAAGCTCTCCGAAGCATAGGAAGAGCACCCAAGGAAGATGCTTCTTTTTCCACCTCCCGTTGTTCCGGCGAAACACTCTGCACCGTCGAAGCGGCTTGCCCCATCGTCTGGCTTCACCGAATTTCTGGCTCCCAATCAATGAACCTCTCTTTGCTCTTGGTTTTCCTGTGGTACAAACTTGCAATTCCCAGAAACTAGCCCCCGAGTTCAAGCACCGAGCACGGGTATTTATTATTTTAAAAACGAAATGTAATGATCAGGAAACGATGGCGTTTATCCGCGATCGGATTCAGATCAAGTCGAATCTGTTCGACGGTTAGACCGAATGCCATATTATTTATTTTATTTTCCTTTTTTCAAGGGCCAGATTGATTTCGGATCCGCTACGTGGCGTCCTTCTGGGTGAAAAAAAAAAAAAGAAATCTGTAGAGATGCTGATATCCCCTCCTGGCCTCCTTAGTAGATATACAGCGCCTTTTTTTTTTTATTACTTATTTGATTTTTATTTTAATATTAAATATAATATTATAATTCATTTTTATTTCTCATATTATTTATTTTTTAAAATAGTTCTTATATAATAATAGTTTTAACTAATATACTTGATTAGTAAAGATATTTTAGGATAAAATAAGAGTTAGTTGACTAATTTGAGTAAATTAAAAAAATATGTTAATTTAGTTATTTATAATAAATAAATTTTGTCTTCTTTAGAATACCCTTGTTAATCAAGTGTATTAGCTAAAACTATTATTTGATTAAATTTTTAACATATGCAACTATTACAAATACTACTCCTCTAATCTTTAATATAGGACCTAATTGTTGAGTTGGTTTTGATTCTAAATATAAGACCCATTTATCATATTTATTAATTTTCTCTAAATTACCCCTATGGATACTTTCTCAACCAGAATTAAGTAGAAGAGGGAGAAGGGGTATTAAGAAAGATGATTATGGTGTTTTAAAAAAAAGTGTCACATTTCTTATAATTAACTAACTTATTTAATTTTCTTAATCTAATCAAATTAGTTAAATGGATCTTATATTAAAAATCGGAGGAGTATTTTGGAAAAATTAATCAATATGAGAGACCATATGGATTAGGATCTTATATTACTATCTCTGATTTTTGATATAAGAGTTATTTTAACTTTAAATGTGGTCATAAATATAATATTTCTATTCGGTTTGTCTCTCTTATTTATCTATTTTTTCAAAGTAATTTTTGTACTAGTTACACATATTAAATGTTCAATTAAATAATAGTTTTAGCTAATACATGATTAGTAATGATATTTTAAAGAAGACAACACCTAATTATTACAAATAACTAACTTAAAACAGATTTTCTTAATATACTCCCATTATTCAATTAGCTATTATTTGATATATTAAGTATCCAAAATAGTATTAACGAGGCAGCATATTAGAAGTATCTTAGAAGATATTTTTGATTCAGAATTTGACGGGAGGTTTTGGAGCGTTCACTTAGCGTTAAATATTTTTGTCATACATGCTCATATTTAATAAAGAGAAAGTAAAAATTAATGCTGTCTTTGATTCCAAATATAAATATCAAATAATTAAATTATTTAAATATGTATAAAAAATATAACTTATTTTACTATTACGCATCTATTTAGTGTATATTTAATAGAGAGAAAGAAAAAGTTAATACTGTCTTTGATTCCAAATAAATATCAAATACTAAATTATTTAAATATGTTTGAAAAATATAACTTATTTTCCTATTACGCATCTATTTATCAAAGGGTAAGCGAGAAAGAACAAATGAGAAAAAAAATAATGAGAGAGAATATAATTAATTAGAAATAAAAATAAAAAAACGTTAAACAATAACACAAATTTAAATTGCATCTAATAACAAAAAAATTAAGACCTTTAAAAAATTTAACACTTATATTTTGAAAAAGAAGGAGTATGATATTAGAATTTAGTATAATCAACATAAATAATATTGATAATCATTTGAAATTTATAATAAATACGTGTGAATTAGCTTTTAACATTTTATATTATGAAACAGAAAAAAAATGCAATGTTATATACATATATGTAAGCAAAAGTACATATTTAATTTTTTTAATTTTATATAGAGTCTTAGTTTGATTTTTTAACAGGAAAATATATTTTTAACTTTAAAATTATTTAGTTTTAGATTATAATTTTTTATAAAAAATTAAATATAATAAATTAGTATTTAAAAATATTTTATTAACATTAAAAATTATTATTTACTTATTAATAATTTTAAGGTTAAAAAATAATTTTTTTAATGTATGAAACTAAACTAAAATTTTATATAAAATAAAAAAAATGTTGGCAAAATATGAAGTTTAAAGATATTTTTGCGCATAAATACGGGGGGGCATGGGGAAGACAGATGCTCGTTTGCAGTGCGTAAGCGAGGTGGCATCTTATTGCTAGACTGGGTCTCGACTCGGCACGGCACTGGGAGTCCTCAGCCAAGGCAGACGCTACCAGCAATCTGAAAATTAAGATGCCGCCGGCGAAGAGGGGCAAGGCAAAGGTTGAGAAGAGTGAACCATCTCAGTCGGCAAAAGCTAACAGTTGGCCCTCTTGTATTCGATCCATGACTCCTTCTTCCGTTGCTATTACCATCCACGCCAAGCCCGGTTCCAAAACTGCTTCCGTAACAGGTACCTCGCTCGTCTTCTTTTTCTTTTTTCTTGATACACGTCAGTGGTTTTTGTTTTGTTCCTAATCGTTATGAAATTGTAGATATCAGTGATGAAGCTGTCGGAGTGCAAATTGACGCACCGGCAAGGGATGGAGAAGCAAATGCCGCCCTTCTTGATTACATGAGCTCCGTAAGCTCTTTTCTTTATTGTTTTTCTAGTTTATTTTCCCTGAGTTTGATTCAGTTTGTATCTTAGAAAACGAAATTTCACTGAGGAGAGAAGGCGAAGCCCTAATGTTGAGAGAGAGCCGGAGTCAACTGTTGCATGTTCATGAGTTTCCGGCATCAAATGTTAAAAATAAGGGGGATAAATTTTTCTCCCCCCCCCCCCCCACAAAACATAGTCTGGGAAATCTTGCTATGGTGGAAACAGGGATTAGTTTTTGAAGAATAAAATTTTTTGTGCATTCATATTCTAACTATTGGTACTCAGAGTCAGAGACTTACATAAACATAGTTGATTAAATCTTTCATCATGTTGGTTTATCTAATTTTATGCTGGAATTAGTTGCACCTTTGCTTCTTCCTTGGATTGTCTGCTTTTGGTTTATTGACAACAAGAAGAAAGCCTCGTCCCATTAAATGAGTTTGGCCACATGGATCACACAATGTCATTGGATTGTATCAACGGCTCACATGACATCTACCATGAGATGCTGACCTTCTAGAATCATGCTTCCACCAAAATGAGCTTTCTTTTGTTATATGCTTTATAATGCGATGCTGCTCACTTGTGTTTCTTTAGAGGTGTAGATGGTATAATGGTGCTTTGTAGGTTGATGTTATCAGTAATCATTGATATCTCACTTTATGTTTCTTGTTGTTGGAAACATATTGATGTAATTAGTTTTTACACTGCTCCTTTTCTAGTTCTGTATTGAGTCGCCGGCCCAGTAACCCTCCTCGGTTTTCCGTACACCTGGTGGACATTCTGTGTCATATTTCGGTGTAACTATTGTAACATTCAATGGTTGATTGCAGGTTTTAGGAGTAAAACGAAGGCAAGTATCAATAGGTACTGGTTCCAAGTCTAGAGATAAGACCGTAATTGTGGAGGATGTTGCTGTGCAATATGTTTTTGATGCTTTAGATAAAGTCTCAAAGGACCAGCGATGAGCAAAATACGGTCATTGTCGGTGAACACATGATATGTGCTGTTGCTTGATTACCATATACCACAGCCAGAAGTAAAGCCATATTCTGGGATCATTGGACATGTATTGTTGCTTGATTACCATATACCATACACGAGTGAGCCAGATTCCGGTCTCGTTTGATTTCCTGCAGAAGTTGAAGGAAGGAGAGTTGGAAGTGTGTGTTTTCACTCACTTTGTGTTGGATTTTGATTCTGATTCTGATATAGGTTCGAAATGGTGTGTGTTTATACTGACGTTGCTATCATTAGATGTGAAAACATGTCCTTGAAATAAAGGCCATGTTGGTCAAAGTATGAATTCACTGACATGAGGAAATTTTTCTTGTAGTAGATATCTGTGTGTGAGGGTGCTGCATTGGGGATTATTTATTTTGATCTTCCAAGTTTGCAATAGGCTTATCTACGAATTTATCTCCTGTGCGGGGAGCTCCCCCCCCCCCCCCACCCCCAAAGTAACTGAAGAATATATATTCCCTATATTTATGAGCAGTGTTTGGAGGAGTGTTGCTGCTTCTCCAAACATACACGGTAAAGCTGTGTTGAGAGAAGCTGGGATGCGTTTATTTCGCAAGCGTTGGAGTATTTATATTTTTTACATGTTGATACTACCCTAGCAAGTGGTTAGTCTAATGGAAGGGATAGCGTTAACAAGTACATACATTGTTGTCAAACTCGCGAGTTGACTTTCTAAATTTAACGTTTTTACGTTTTCATCTAACAAAATCGTGTAGACTCATTCTTAAACTCCTGATAACTGTAAACTCGATTAAGCTTGCTAGTTTATTTATCAAGTTTATCGTTTTTACATTTTTAGCTTATAAAATCATGTCAACTCGTTTTTATACTCATGCTAAATTTTTAAATTTATTATGTTTAGTGATTTTATATGTGATTTTTATAGAAATTTTTTTATTGAATATGATAAATTATGAACATTGATAGATATAATTTCAGTTATTTAAATTTAAAATATTTAAATGAAATTGTTCTCATTTTTAATATATTAATTATTTGATTATGTACTTTTAATATCAGTTTATTAATAAAAGTAAATTTTTACGAATTCACGATTCGGGTTTACAATTTAAATTTATATCATTATCACGAGTTTGCACGAGTTTGACAACTTTGAGTACATGTTTGATTTTTGTTAATTTAGATATATGTGATTTAAAATAACAGAAGAAGTAGTCCGAGTGTGATTGGTAAAATTAAGTTAAATTTGTACCTTGTAATATCGTATAAAAGCAAGGTATTAAAAACCGGACCGGTTATTGAACCGGTCAATACAGTGGGTCAAGGGTTAGTGGGTCAGATTGGAGTTAAACTGGAGTCAAATCGGAATTAATTAAAAAATATAATATAAATAAAATCTATAAAAAATATTTATATTTTATTATAAAATATATTTTAATAAATATGATATTTATAATATCATGTTAAAAAACATATACAAAGCATATGTTATCATAAAAAATGGAAATTTCACGTTCCTTATCTTCTCTTTTTGTCCCAGACGTCCCTGCTTTTCTTTTTATCGTATACATTATTATATATAATTAATATAAAGTGTGTCAAACCTAAAAGAAGTCATATCCAAATTTTCAAAAATGAAAAGAAAGGACGAAGTGGTACTGTAAATCTAGTGTTATAAGCTGCTGTAAAATTAATGCTATTTTTTTCTTGAGATTCTTAATGTCCTTCTTTTTTTCTTCCTTTAAGCACTCTTCTAGGAAAAAAGAAGTCAGATCTTAAATCTCACTCCAGCACGCTCAAAAGTCGAATCTCGCCAAATGTTATCTACTTATCTATCACCTTCACCTCTACCGGTTATTACCTCCGTCTTCTCCCTCAAATTCCTGCGATTGCGAACTCCTTCATCCTAGCCTCCCCCAGTCATTCTCACCCAGATATTGGCCCCAACAACTGACATTTCTCAGTTCCAGCACCACTGTCATCGCCGACGACGCCTCTCACCTCTACCGGCTCTCTTAAACACCAGCTACACATACTTCATTTCTTGTTTCTTTCATCTGCCATATTTTTTTCTCTTCTTCTTCTTCTCATTTCTTTTTTTTTACCTGGAAACTTGCTTTGTTGTTGGAGTCCTCGCATCTTTCTGGACATTTAAAAGTGACCCGGGTTACCCGTTCAACCCAACGGGTTATCCGGGTCACAACCGGTTCTTACCGGTTTAACCGGTTTCATACCGGTTCGAAACAGTGCTGGTTTAGATCATGAACCAAACCGGACAAGTGTCCGGTTCGCCAGTTTCCGGCCTGAACCGGCCGGTCCGGTCCGAGTTTTCAAACCATGTATAAAAGACACATTAATTTATATATGTGGTAAAATATTAATAAAAATATAATATTTAAAACTGAATTGAAATATATTTAAACTGCATGTATTTAATTTTAAAATTAAAATTATGAAAAATGTTTAAATTGAAGTAAAATTATAAGAACAAAAAACAACACTAGTTTTCCCAAAAAAGAAAAACTATCTATTAATTTTAGTTTTGGGGAGGAAAGCCATAATACATTTTTCAGGCATAAATAATAATGTGTTATGAATATAATAATATCTCTGTGGATGTCTATATATCTCTCATTATCTTCTATATCTCCTATAATCTCTAATATCTCTCATTATCTCTATATCTCACAATTATTTCATATTATTATGTAATCTGTAGATTCTATCAAAGGTATAAAGCTATGCCTATAAATAGAGGTCATGTATAATATATTGAACACATTTGAATAGAATGAGAAATACTCTCTCTTGTTGATCCTCTCTTCCTCTCTATGATTCTTCTCTAAATTTTTTCTTTATTTATAACACTTTATCAATACAAAGCTCTAACCAAGGTGCGTGTGATATACCTTTCTATCCCATCATAATTTTAAAACATCATCTCTATTATTTTTCTAGAGTATCTTTTGCTCTGTTCAAATAAAAATATCTTGAGCATCACATATATAGTGTTTCAGAATATCAGTATTCCTATTCAATTTATCTAGGATAATCTAAGTCATTATATGAAATTAAAAGGATTATCTACCATTGTTTTAAACATTGGGTTTCATGGCTATGATTAGAGATTTTGCTTTACTTTTTCGTGCTACAATTTAATTTTGATATAAATATTATACCTTTCGAACTAATTATGATGAGAGGATTTTTTTTCCTTCTATTTCTTATTAACCCGACGTCACTATTTTGATGGAACTCGAAGTTCCAATAGATACTAGCAGTATCATTAAAGAGTTACCATCTAAAGTTAAATGGCCAAAAGTCATATAATTCTAATTTTTCATTTTATTGTAATTAAATGGCCAGAAGTCATATAACTTTGATTTTCTATTCTTTTCAAATTAAATGACTAAAAGCCATATAAAATCGATTTTCTATATTATACCCAGAAGCTATACAACTTTGATTTTTTTTTTTATCTTATGGCTAGAAGCCATATATATATATATATATATATATATGCTAATTCTCTTCTTTTTTTCAATGGCTTGAAGCCATATATATTTGATATTTTATCTTATTGAATTACTAGAAGTATCTAGGTATAAATTTTCCATCTTATGGCTAGAAGCCATATATATTTGGTTATTGTTATCTTATTAAATGGCTAGAAGCCATATAATTTGAATTTTTTATTTTATGACCAAAAGTCATTTATATATTTAATTTTTCTTTATCTTATTAAATGGCTAGTTGCCATATAATTTTGATTTTCTATTTTATGACCAGAAGCCATATATATTTGAATTTTTTTTATCTTATTAAAAGGCTAGAAGCCATATAATTTGTGTTTTTTTTTATTTTTATGGCCAAAAGCCATATATATAAAAAAATTTATATCTTCTTAAATGACTCGCATTCATATAACTTTAATGTTCTATCCTATGGTCAAATGTTATAAATATTTAATTTTTTTGTTATTTTATTAATTGGCTAGAGGCCATATAACATCAAATTTTTATCTTATGATCAGAAACCATATATCTTTAATTTTTTTATTTTGAAATTAAATAGCTAGATATCATGTGTCTTTATTTTCTTTATTAAATGACTTGAAACTATATAGTTTTGATTGTGAAAAGGATCATTATATGATTTGTTTATAAAAAAAATTATGACAATTAGAATTATAAATAATGTAACCCAGAAAATTAATGACTATATAGTGAAAGATGTGTTGGTAAAAGAGTTTACCTTTTCTCTTTATTTTATGTTACATTTAATTAATTTAAAATTTAAGTTTTATTCTTATCTTATTTTCATATATTTTTGACATTTAATTTGATATTTATTAATATTATAATTTCTTATTATTAAATGGCCAGCACAGCCATAATACTCATGTTATTGAATGATATGAAAATAATAACTTATGATGTTTTTAAAGCCCCGAAGGCCTATGGTTCAAATATTAAGGGACACAAATGATTTTTAATATATATTTACTATATAGAGTCTCAAAGATTAATGACTTATAAATAGCTATGAAAGCCTATGATATAAATCTTCATGACTATATAGTTTGATTTTAGTTTTTATAGATTTTTTCAAATTTTTGTTGGATTTATAAATTTATGAATAAGTTTTGAAGCATTACATAATATATACAAAGAAGTAAACTTTTTGAATAACGAAATATCCAAAAAATTTTATGTTTTGAAAAAAAAATACTTCATACTTTGTAAAGCATAACAAGAAGTAAAGTATATCATATAGTGAAAAAATAATATATGTTAGTTCTTAAATAACTATATATATTAGAATATTTGTTTATCAAAAGGTCTTAAGGTAATAGCGCAATGGGATTGAAACTCATTATTATATCTGAATTAGGAAGCATTTGGATTTTCAAGTTAAAGATATATTATTAGCTTATTATATGCTATTCACTCTATTTGAAATATAGAAATAAGAAAAATATATTTATATACTCACACTAGAGGAGGAGATTGTTGAAATACAAGTGTGAATTATGTTAGATAGAATTTATTATTATTAATATTATGTTATTCCTTATATATCATATTCCTTTTGAAAAAGACTCTAAAAGAGTCAGTAACGCTCAATTTTCCATTAGTGTATAAGTTTTTACCATTGGGTAAAAGATGACAAATAATGCTCTAGAAGAGCTATATCATGATTTATTATCCTGAAGATAAAATCCATAATTGATAGCATATTCCTTATGAAATATTAAGGTGAAAAATGAATAATATGATATGGTAAGAAGAAGTTTACTAACAATTAAGAATAATTTTATAGTAAACCAGAAATTTATGCATTTATAGTTTGCCATGACCGATTAGATCATCCCAGATCATAATGATGCAAAATATCATGAAAAATGTATATTGTCATTTATTAAAA